AACTTTTCCACGACATTCTAATTTATTGAGATGCACCTGTATATATGCTATATAATGACTCCATGAAATGGCTTGATTAGGTTTTTCCCCCATGTGTTGCTGTGTTTCTTAACATATCATATTGGGGGACAGACATTCTCTCTCAAGGGAAAATTTTTTGGACAAAAATGTGCATAAATCCATGAGTGAATGATGAGTCAATTTTTTTTCTTTGCCCAATGTGGTGTTCTTTAAATGTTATTAGCAGGTTTCAAGTAACTTGAATATGCTTTTACCTTGTACAATAACTTTCACCATGTTGCTTTTGTTGGAGTGTCCTGCGCTGCATTGCTTCATAACCATATAGTCACAATGCAGGTAGATGTCTGTGAGCTTCTGCATGGTCAGAGTGGTTGTCACAGAGTTGCTGGTACTAACGACTCTCTTGACCTCCTGATCATCCTCGTAGAAGTAGAACATCAGACTGCCTGTCTCCTCTGGTGCACTGCATGTGGCAATAATGTCTTCCCCCTCAGACACGATGTCAGACATCACCTTCAGCACAGGGATTTGAAGGCCTGTAAGGGTTTAAAGACTTTCTAAACCACTGAATATAATCAGTCACATCAACCACACAATTTAGGGGCAACGATGAAAACCAATATTTTGCTTGCTGGAGTCTGATCTAGTATATATATATTTCTGTCATGACAACTCTCGGATGGATTGGCATGGTAATGTACATGACAATGTTAATGTATTTGGTCTTGGCGGAATAGATCTGCTACGCTGCTGCTGCGGCAGAGCAAGTACCGAGACTTGCTACTGCCAATACATCCACAACATGCTGCTGTGAGCATGTAAGAAATACTGCTGCTGCAAATATAACCTACATTAAATATGGCTATATACCCCCATATAGCATACATGAATCACCCAGTAGCAGATCTATACAGGTGGACCTGGGGAAGGTGGAGGGTTTCTGAAGCAAGCTGCAACTGCTATGGCAAGCACTAGTCATATATTTGAATGTTGAGCAGTAAGCTCATTGGCCACCGATACAGGAGAGAACCAATCAGCTGTGCCACGTGATAATGATGTCATTAGGTCAGATTGAGTTAGACCTATCGGACTGCGCCATCTAAAGTTTTCATGCCTTTGTATATACATATATATATATATATATATATACAGTATATATATATATATATATATATATAATTATTATTAAAAAAAATTCTGTGCAGCGGTGTTGAATATCTGACGTCTCAATAAATTATCTCACCTTTATTTCTCAAGGTGCCGACATCTGTAAGAAATTGAGTGTGATCAGCAAATCTTGACAAGGCTCAGCGATTTACTGCAGAGCAAGTTCATAATCAAATCGCATCATTTAATGGTGGATCTGATGACAAAGCTGTCATGATACAAAATACTGATTTTGAAGATGATGTAAATGAAAACATTTTAAGATTAGTGTATCAAAAGGTCCAGATGCTTTATTTTATTACTGTGTAATTGTTCAAATATCCGTGTGTATGTATATGTATATGAATATGTATTCATGCATTCGAGGGTCAAAAGGCCTAAACATATTCTGTTTAAACACACAGGATATCCATAGACCTACAAAAGAGCAAAAGCTATTTCCTTAAAATATAGTGGATGGCAACAGTTGCTAAAGTAGAATTGGTCAGTAATGCTTTTAAAGGGATAGTTCACCCAAAAAAGAAAATTTGCTGTTAATTTACTCATCCTCAGGCCATTCAAGTTGTAGGTGACTGCAAGTAAATGGCTACTGTTACTTTGAGAATTAAAAACGCATAGAGACAAGACCAAAATAATACTCCTGGCTCCTAATGATATACTGAGGTCTTATGAAGCGAAATGATCCATCTGTGCAAGAAACTGAACATTATTTACAACATTTTTACCTGTAATCCATAGCCTCAAATCCAATTCTTTTGCATGAACTGGTTCTTTTGGATAGCTTGTTTCAGTTTGTTTACATCATGCATTAACATAATGTATAGGTACGCAATTACATTAGCAGCCAACAAAGATGTGAAATGTGAATGTTTTACACGTCTAAAGCATATAAAGTGAATAAAATAATCAAGTCTTAATCAACTTACCTGTTTAGAAAATCACGAGAAAGCATTAAAAATCTTGCACAGACTGATCATTTTGCTTCATAAGACCTCAATATATCGTCAGGAGCCACGGGTATTAATTTTGTGTTGCCTGTCTTTTTGGACTCAAATTGATGGTTGCCACTGACTTGAATTTAATGAATCACCAAAGATCCTTTCTATTCTTCTGAAGTAAAATGGTCACCTACAACTTGGATGGCCTGATGGTGAGTAAATTAACAGCAAATGTTCATTTTTCGGGTGAACTATCTCTTTAAGGCGGGGCTTAGCGGAGGGTCAGTTATGTTACTACCCTGTGACTCTTAATGACAGAATGTTACTCATCTTGTGCTTGTTGTAGATGTGGACACTGCACTGGTAGCGACCAGAGTTGGACACCCTGGCTGGAGATAAACTGCGCTCCACCACTGAGGCACTGCTATTTTTGGAGTACATCACCTGACTGTCCTGCAGGAGGCTGAAGGAGTATGTCAGCGGCTGGGGGAGGCTCTGACTGACACTGGCCTCGCAACGCAAGATCACGTTAGTGCCACTCTCCACATTATTAGCAGGAAGCACAGTCAGTGTCACCTGATCAATGGTCACTGCTGCTCAGAAAAAAACAAACACACATAAAAGAAAACACAGCTGGGTCATTCAGGCCATGTTCAAGAAATTCCACATGTCAAAAATAAATGTTATATTTTATAAAAATATAAAACATTAATGGAAGCAATTGAATATCAATAGATCATGAAAATCTTAAATTTAACCTCTTTAGTCAAAATAAGAGAAAACAATTACAGAAGAGATGTTGACAGTTGTTTACTTACCTGAATTATATATAAATAAGTGTCTAAATAATTACATAAATATGTGTGAAGCATCATTGTGTTTTTAAAAGGTGCTTTATTAATAAACAAATATTTCATATTTTTTATAAATTATTCTAAAATTATTTTACACATTTAGTCAGAAGATTCTTCATCTGTGGTGTTACACAATAAATGGCTCTTTAAATACAATCAGAAAAAGCTTTTAAATTGTTCTGTTTGAAAATATTATACAAATTAAATGCAATTTCAAAAACACTTGTTGGCTCTGAAATAACGTATAATTTGTGTTAAATCTGCTTACTGTCACATATTTATGGTGTATTTATGGTAATTATATATGTGACCCTGCAGCACAAAAGCAGTGTTAAGTCGCTGGGGGATATTTATAGCAATAGCCAACAATACATTGTATGGGTCAAAATTATACATTTTTCTTTTATGCCAAAAATCATTCGGATATTAAGTAAAGATCATGTTCCATGAAGATATTTTGTAAATTTCCTACCATAAATCTATCAAAACTTAATTTTTGATTAGTAATATGCATTGCTAAGACCTTCATTTGAACAACTTTAAAGATAATTTTCTCAATATTTAGATTTTTTTGCACCCTCAGATTCCAGATTTTCAAATAGTTGTATCTCGGCCAAATATTGTCCGATCCTAACAAACCATACATCAATGGAAAGCTTATTTATTCAGCGTTCAGATAATGTATACATCTCAATTTTTAAAAATTGACACTTAAGACTGGTTTTGTGGTCCAGGGTCACATTTATGTAATGTATATTTCTATATTATATATTTAAAGCATACGTATAAAAAAATCCTATGAAGTATGTTAAATCAGTAACATATACTTTAATGTAATTTCTACTGAAACTTATGTCATAAATGTAAATATATTTGTAATTACACAAATGCAGTTATGAAGTTGCAATGTAGTGTATTTAAAATATTCAAACTTTAAATGTATTATTAAATAACACACTGCAGTTAAAAGTCAAGCACTTTATGTGTACTTTATATGTTAGTTAACACATCAAAATAAGTGTACTTCTTTAAAGCACGAGAAAAGATGATGCAATCGTAATGATTTAAAATGTACTTTAGTGTAAAACGTAGAATTTGACATTATTACAAAGTGCACTATTTAAAAAGAAGCTGTCATGAAAGCGTACTCTCTTTAAGTACACTTAAGTGGCATTTTATTTTATAAATGATATACTATCTGCAATTCCAATTTTAAAGACTTGCAGTAAGTGCACATTAAATTCAATTAAGCACACTTCTTTACACAAGTGGTGCATTCTGGGATTGCCTTATCGGCCATGCCATGCTGAATTCGGCTAAAAAGAAGCATCAGACAGAGCCAGTAGCCTACATTGTTCTCAAAGAAACGTGTGCTTGCTTCGGCTCACAAAAAACCCATCAGATGCCACTTCTAAAGAGTCATCTTCTCTGTGTGTTTACTTTGAGCAGAACACACAGTTCTTTTCCTGAAGTCTTAAAGGAGGCCGATAGTGTGCAAAGCAGCGGCGTTCTGAACAGAAAGAAGCGGAAGGAAGGAAATCACATAAACAAACCCTAAACATTTCCCCCTCAGGAGTGCAGAGCCTGTGATTTCTGCTGTACGACTCTCAACCTGGCCAACAAACACAACTGGAGTTCACCGCTACACACGTCACTTCAGTAAACACCACTAAAAGCTGGAAAAACATGGATAATACAAACCCAAACTCAATGGTGGCATGTTTACTAGAAGATCCTAGTGTTTGTGGCTTAGAATCTGCATCACTGAACACGTTTGAGCCTACAATTAGAAGCAGACTAAACATCTTGCTATTGTACGAGGTGCAAACTTCCTGTGAGGGGCTAAACAGCGAGTGTCAAAGTATCTCTGAAGGATCAAAGCATCCAAGTGAATCACAGATCTGCTCTGACTAAAAATACATCCTAAAAGTCTCAGAAAAGCACAGAATTGTCATAATATTTCACTGCTCCCTTTTCCCAGCTATATAAATCAAGCAGTCAGGTTAGTCTGAGGTAAAAATAACCCTACAGAAGCTGGTGTCCCGAAACTGTCGTGACCACATGGTTTCTCTCCCATGCAAATACAAAGTACAAATGGAAACTGGTAAGTGAATCGAGGGCTTACCTGCCTGTATGTTGGCCGCTTGCCCTGGAGGTGAGAGCAAAAGGGAGAAAGAGGTAAGACAAATGAACAAAAAGAGGATGAGACGGTGTCAATCATCTTGTGCGAGGAGTCCTTACACAGTGCGCTTAGGCTGATGTGGAGCAGGCCGAGCCAGAGAAGACACATGCTCATCCTCACAGGTGAGTCTTCATGAATGTGAAGGATGCACACGCGAGCGCGGGAGGATGAGGATAAGGGCAGAATGGTTGCACATTTCACTTGGAACCGCCTTTCTATGTTTAACGTGGATCAGGAAACGTGTTCCTTCCTCAGGATGTGTGTATTTGAATGCTTCATTCGTCCAGGCCCTTGGAAAAAAAAAAACACCTTTCTGTTTATGGCGGGTCTCAAAGGCCTCATGTTTTAGTGCTGTGCTAAAGACATCGCAGCCATATGTGACCCTGGACAATAGGTCATAAGGGTAAATTTTTCGAAATTGAGATTTATACATCAACCGAAAGCTGAATAAATAAGCTTTCCATTGATGTATGGTTTGTTAGCATCGGACAATATTTGGCTGAGATACAACTATTTGAAAATCTGGAATCTGAGGGTGCAAAAAAATCTAAATATTGAGAAAATCGCCTTTAAAGTTGTCCAAATGAAGTTCTTAGCAATGCACATTACTAATCAAAAATTAAGTTTTGATATATTTACAGTAGAAAATTTACAAAAATTATTTTTGGCATAAGAGAAAAATCGATAATTTTGACCCATACAATGTATTTTTGGCTATTGCTACAAATATATCCCAGCGACTTAAGACTGCTTTTGTGCTCCAGGGTCACATATATAAGATCAAGATGATGCTTTTTGAGGCACGTCAGCGGTGTGGCATCCATTCAGCACACACGTGTACCACGGTAGCACACTGTTTTTAACACGTAACACATTTCTTGACATGTTCCTTGATCATATTATGTGTTTTTAGGACACATTCCACAGTTATGCCACATTTGTCTTTGGATACAAACCAGACATTTACGGATATTTCTTTGATTTTGAACACAAACCATGGAAATACCACTTAATACAATGTTTATCCGGCATGCACCATGGTAATTAATTCCATGTATTTTGGGGCATGTACCATGGTAACTTGCTTTCAGTTTTAGTTAACAATATCAGCACTGATTTAGGTGTGTACCAGCATTTTGAATTAGCTTTTATTTTAAGTTTGAATTTTATTTCAAGTTTGAACAAGTTTGCAGTGCTTTTTTATTATTATTTTTAATGTTCTTGAATATATGGTTATTTCAGTTTTATTTGTTGTCATTTTAGTACTTCAACTTTTGCATATTTTATTTTAATTATTTTAGTTTAGGTTTTTCATTTAATATTCAATTTTATTTCAAGCAACAGCACTGTTTCTGGTAGTGTGTACCGTGGCATTACCAGTCCCCCCCCCCCATGTTTCCATGACAATACCACACATTTTGGACATGTACTAAGTTACACATACAGTGTTTTTTGGGCATGTTTTTTTGTTTTTGTTTTGCTTGGTAGTACTTGTTCAAAAATACATATATTATCTATGTTAATGCCATGTATTTTTCTTTTTGCATTATTGTATGTTTTATTTAACTGTGTACTATGTATTGTCATGGTAATACTATGCATTTGTGGACATGTATAAATTATTTTGTAAGAACCATGACGGACAATGTAAATATCTTGGTTAATAATTTACTATCATGTAAAAGCACCGTGGTATTACCATCTGGTACAATCACTTTACCATGGTATGGCCACTCTACTTAATTATGAAGAAATGAGACTTCAAATGGTAAGACTTACGAGCCAAACCCCTCTGTGGTCAGAAGCAAATCATCCACATCCTTCAACACAAGAGGCCACAGAAAATATTTTGCAAAAGTGACCTTGACACCACAAGGCATGCTGGGTACATGACAGGAAGTCCATGATTAAAGAGAATGAGTTGAAAACCAGTGTCAATATGTGCCTCTGGCTTGCAAGCTTCTGAAAGGAGATTGCAGTATGCAATCACTAGGTGACCACTAGGTGTTGCTCTAGGTTTAGAGAGAAGATTTTGACTGCGGAGAAACTGTCTACATCCTTCACAGAGGTAGATATTAAATCAGTATAATGCTTCAGCCCTTCATTATCAAAGACCAGAAATGAGCAAAAAGGCATTTCTCTCCCTAAACTCCTGTCAAAACAAGTTGTGATGCTCTGGATGAGAGAATTAATTGAAGCTGTCACATTCACTGCATTTATGTGACACTTTGAGCCTCTATTCATGGCTGCTCCTCTCCTCTCTCGCCTGAGGGAACTCTTGAATTAACAGTGCTAAATGATTCATGGTGTATGTTTGAGCTTTAATTGGGCGTCTTGCCTCGCCAGCAGCACACCAGCACAACCAGTTTAGTCACTGCAGTGAATTACCTCAAGTTTAGCACACCACGTCAAACACAGGATGTCCTGCTGCCCACAATGCCCACACGCAAATAGATGAAATGATCACGAAGGCAGAACACATTGAAGAATCAGTGACTCTACTGTTTTTTTCTGCTTTAGCTGCCTGTAAAGATCTGCTTTAGTAGCACTGCTGTTCTGCAGTTTGTTGAAATGCATTCACCCCATATGGGGTAGATGTGCTTGTTATCCAGTGACACAATACAATGACATTTAGCAGTTGGAAAAGGGGATTGTGGCCACAAAACTGTATATATACAATTTATAAACACTACTGTACAAAACTTTGCAGTCAATAAGATTTTTTGATGATTTTCAAAGAAGCTTATTTGAATAAAAATACAGTAAAACAGTAATATTGTGAAATATTTTTACAATTTAAAAAAGTGTCACATTATGCTTCAGATATTTTAATATACTGATTTGCTAAAGAAATATTTTTTTAAATTATTATCAGTGTTGAAAACAGTTGTGCTTTCCTTTCCTTTCCTTTCCTTTCCTTTCCGGTCCTGTCCTGTCCTTTCCTTTCCTTTCCTTTCCTTTGTTTTCGTTTCATTTCCTGAGTTTTCCTTTCCTTTCCTGTCCTGTGTTTTCCTTTCCTTTCCTTTCCTTTCCTTTCCTGTCCTGTCCTGTGTTTTCTTTTCCTTTCCTTTCCTTTCCTTTCCTTTCCTTTCCTTTCCGGTCCTGTCCTGTCCTGTCCTGTCCTTTCCTTTGTTTTTGTTTCCTGTCCTGAGTTTTCCTTTCCTTTCCTGTCTGGTCCTGTCCTGTGTTTTCCTTTCCTTTCCTTTCCTGTCCTGTCCTGTGTTTTCCTTTCCTTTCCTTTCCTTTCCTGTCCTGTCCTGTCCTTTCCTTTCCTTTCCTTTCCTTTCCGGTCCTGTCCTGTCCTGAGTTTTCCTTTCCTGTCCTGTCCTGTCCTGTGTTTTCCTTTCCTTTCCTTTCATTTCCTGTCCTGTCCTGTCCTATCCTGTGTTTTCTTTTCCTTTCCTTTCCTTTCCTTTCCGGTCCTGTCCTGTCCTGAGTTTTCCTTTCCTGTCCTGTCCTGTCCTGTGTTTTCCTTTCCTTTCCTTTCCGTTCCTTTCCTTTCATGTCCTGTGTTTTCCTTTCCTGTCCTGTGTTTTCCTTTCCTTTCATTTCCTGTCCTGTCCCGTCCTGTGTTTTCTTTTCCTTTCCTTTCCTGTCCTGTCCTGTCCTGTCCTGTGTTTTCCTTTCCTTTCATTTCCTGTCCTGTCCTGTCCTGTGTTTTCTTTTCCTTTCCTTTCCTGTCCTGTCCTGTCCTGTGTTTTCCTTTCCTTTCCTGTCCTGTGTTTTCCTTTTCTTTCCATTCCATTTCTTTCCTGTCCTGTCCTGTGTTTTCCTTTCATCCTGTCCTGTCCTGTGTTTCCCTTCCCTTCCCTGTCCTGTGTTTTCCTTCCCTTCTCCTTTCCCTTTCCTTTCCTTTCCAGTCCTGTTTTCCTTTCCTTTCCTTTCCTATCCTGTCCTGTGTTTTCCTTTCCTTTTCCTTTCCAGTCCTGTTTTCCTTTCCTTTCCTGTCCTGTTCTGTGTTTTCCTTTGCTTTCCTTTCATACTGTCCTGTGTTTTCCTTTCCTTTCCAGTTCTGTTTTCCTTTCCTTTCCTTTACTGTCCTGTGTTTTCCTTTCCTGTCCTGTTCTGTGTTTTCCTTTGCTTTCCTTTCCTTTCTTTCATCCTGTCCTGTCCTGTGTTTTCCTTTCCTTTCCTTTCCTGACCTGTCCTGTGTTTTCCTTTTCTTTCCTTTTATCCTGTCCAGTGTTTTCCTTTCCTGCCCTTTCCTGTTTTCCTTTGCTTTCCTGTCGTTTTCTGTCCTGTCCATTACCACACTTTCCTTTTTTCCTTCATGCTTTGCATCTTACCTTTCTGCACATCTTTCTACAACACAACACAAATTGCATTTCATGGTAAATAAAGCATACCCAATTTTGTATTATGGAATTGCCTTTTCCACAATGCATAAGATTTTACAAGGCATCATAATAATGCCAGCTATACCTTTTTTGGAACATGCTTTGTGTCGGGAACACACCTACGATGCCTTAAAATACTGTCACTAGGTTTTGGAACAGAGACTTTCTTTTACATTTGGATCCTCACATCTAATCATCAGCAGATGGTTGGCTATAAGCAGCAGGAAAGTAATGATTTTGCAGACTGGTTTGAAGGAGCCGTGCAACACAAATTTAGTATTGTAACAACTCCTGTATTAAAGTGCAGGCTTGATTTATTTTAGGTCCTGGCAGAGCTGTCTTGACAGAGGGGTCGTGCGTTGAGGGTCCTGATTAATGGTTTTCCCTGAAGCTGCAGTGCCTGCACTGCCTGGGCCGACCCATAAGAGAGAGTGGCTCCTTTTCCAGCACAGAGTGGAGTCATAAAAATCACTCAGGGTCTTAATAGTGGCCGTCATAGCAGCAAAGAACACCAAGGTAACAAGCTGCATGTGGGAAAACAAACTGGAGTGAGGATAAATGTTTCAACACCAATATTACCCAGCAAGTTAAATACGACTAAACAGCAGCCGATAACTCACACATGGTACTTGAATTCACCATTATGCTTTGCATTATTATTTCAGCTATTTTCTCACTTATAGCATGAGCAGCTAGTAATTCCTTGATTTGTTATGGCACATTTGTTCGGAATTTGAAGTTTACAATACAGCTAGCAAACCACAGCTGCCACTTTCCTTTGGGGCATAACACAAGAAATTGAATTGACAGTGTTTTGCCACTGACAGCCA